ATGCGGGACTCGATCCAGAGACTCCAGGATCATGACCTGAGCTGAAGGCAATCGCTTAACCAACTGAGCCACCCAGGCGCCCTCCCCTGTGTATTTTAAACAAGAAGAGCAACGCTCAATTTTCCAACCTGGAAATTCAGTATTTATTTTAAATATTTTTTTATTGTGTCATCAAAATCTGAGAGAAAGTTTTCCATTTACCAACAGAAATGGGAAGTTTACTATAACCATAAAATGTTTGAAAGTGAGGCACTCCTGTGTGTTACGAGACAGAAGGTAACAGTCCTGAAACAGAAGAAGTGAGAAAATAATTTCATCTAACTTCTACCAGTAAGACCACTGGAATATTAACCAAAAATTCTTTAGGACCTAAAAACACTCACTTATCAATTGCTCCAGCCTGAGTAACGATTTATGGCAAGGATTCTGATATTTTCTACTACTTGCCATATTCCCTAGAAGAGGCCGTTTGGTGGGGTGGGGTGGGAGGGAGGCAGCAGATGGTGTGTTTTACTCATTCAGCTACAACTAAAGCCATGTCTTCAGTTCAAAGTCCTGACCTTGGTCTGTCCCAGCGTGCTCCATCAAGATACAATCCGTGGATGTACACGCCGTCTTCTGGGGCCATCTCGGATGTATCCGAAGGAATAACCTGAAGGGAGAGGCACACACTTGTAATGGTCTCTTTCCCAGACCACTCTGTCTTATAAGGAAAACATTTGCTCAATTTTCAGAATGTATTCAGGGAAACTCCACTATATAATGGCTTGTATACATTTTTCAGTAAAAGTGTAAATGTAAAAATGTATAATACAGTTCTTTTTGAAGCATTTTATCAGGTTTTACTGTACCTTATATTAATTTTTGCTAAAACAGAAGAGCAGCATTAGATTATTTGAGTGGAAAATTGAAATATATAAAAGTCCTATCAGACACAGCAAGACAAATATCATTTACTTTCTTCATGAAACACAAAGGATGGAAAGAAATCAAATAGTTTATAATGGACCATAAGGATAGGAATTCTGCATATCTTCCTTGCTTAAATACATGATTTTGATATAGTGATAAGACTGTGGAGTTCAGGGGGTTACTGTACCTCAAATTCATATCCTAGTAAATCAATAGGTATGGTGTATTTTCTGGCATAATTCTGCATAGCTCCAGTTAGGAAGGCTTGGGTGAAAAAGAATCCTGAGAGCCAGAACACATTAGGTTTTCCTGAATTATGCCAGTCCTGTAAAGGGCAAACAAAATGCATTATGTTCAGTTTCCAACTCACACAGCATCACCTCATACAATTCCTTTTTTTTTTTTTAAGATTTTATTTATTTATTTGACAGAGAGAGACGGCGAGAGTGGGAACACAAGCAGGGGGAGTGGGAGAGGGAGAAGCAGGCTTCCTGCGGAGCAGGGAAGCCCAATGTGAGGCTCGACCCCAGGACGCCAGGATCAGGACCCGAGCCAAAGGCAGATGCTGAACAACTGAGCCACCCAGGCGCCCTCATATACAATTCCTGATTCTGGTGTATGTGCTGCCCACACTTTCCATCACAGGACTCTCTTCCCTGACTCAAAGCACACAACCTTGGCCTTCTACCCTTTTCGCTTATAGTTACTCTTCTTGGAAAATTCAAACTAATTTTAACATTAACCTGAATAAAACAACATTTGAAAGATTCACATCTTCTGCAAAGAGCCAAAGATAAATTATTTGGGGATTTATTATATTACTTAATCCTACTCAAAAGCCACTACCTTTAGACATCTTACGCATCATATCACAGAGCCCTCGTGTGTTGATTCCAGCTCCTTAAACCTCTCAGCCACCCATGCCTCCATGCCCACTGCCCCCGCTCCAGTTCAGAGATCCACTGTCTCCTTTCTGTATCGATGTGTCCATCTTCTCACTTTTTCCGTCTCGCTGCTCGGCACATCTAGAGTCATTCTTCCCGAGTAGACGTCACCATACATGGTTTGCATTGGGTTTAGCACCTTGCATAATTCTTTAGTGATCTACTACTACTCTACCAAATTAAAGTCTAAGCACCTTAGTCTCCTATTCAAGAGACCTCACAATCTGGCCCTGAATTGTATTTCCAGCTTGGTCCCTTTTAATTCCTCTTCAAGCATCTTGCATTCTAATCAGACCATTTGCTGGTCTCTTCTCTGCATTGGGTGCACATCCGTCTTACATCCCAATGGAGGCTGAACCTTTCCACACTCTCCACCCAAGCACTTTTGGTGCAGGAACTCTACTTCCTGGGGTGGGCATGTGATTCATGCCTGGCCGATGATACCTCCAGTCATCATGATCGATTCAGGAATGGACACGTGACCCAATCAAAGCCAGAGATGCAGAGACTCTTGCTGGGACTTTTGGGGAAAAGACACTCAGCTCTGTGAAGTTGCGTGGATGTGGGGCCAGAATTGCTGCAGCTCTTTTGCTACCACCGGACAAGAACCTACCTGCGAATGGAGTCAAGCCTCAGAGAAATGGAGCCAGGAGACGAGGTGCAAGAATCCAGGACCAGGGAACAATTTTGCACCCTAGGTCAGCTCCTGCCTAGAGCCACTTGATGCCCTGGATTTTTCAATTACTGAGGGAATAAACTTTATTTGTGTTTATGTCAGAATTTTTACAACAGAATCAGTCCTAAGTGAGATAGTGCCTTTCATTGCACAGCTATCTCTAAGTCCTTTTCCTTTTTTCTTGCAGCGTCCAAAACCTCTCATCCTTTAGACCCAGCTCAAATGCTTCCTCATCTAGTAAACAAGCTCTGCTTTCCTGGGCTAGAAGAACTCTCTCCTTTCTTTGAATTCCCAGAACAATTTACAAATTGATCTTTTATGACTCATTCCCTACTCTACTGAATTCGTTTTTTCTTAGATACATATAAGCTTATCCCCCTGTAGACTATTGGCAATTTGAAGGCAGGGCTCATGTGGCCATCACACTTTTATCTCACAGAGGACACAACAAGATGTTCTGGACAAAGTGGGGTCTCAATTCACATCAGTTGAATGAACAGATGAATCAATAAAATGAACTCTGTCTCTGAGCAAGCAGTGCACTGTGGGAAGAAGCCAGCTTTGCTTTCTGGGAGGAAGAGACCAGACTTGTGCTAGAGATGTTGCAACAGTATAAGTTATCAAATCAGGAAGAGGTGGAGTGGTGCCTGGGTGGCTCAGAAGGTTAAGCATCAGACTCTTGATTTCCACTCAGGTCATGATCTCAAGGTTGTGAGATCGAGCCTGGTGCTGGGGGTGGGGGCATGCTCAGCAGCGCATCTGCTTGAGATTCTTTCCCTCTGCTCCCCCCACCCCACCATGCTGTCTGTCTCTCTCAAATAAATAAATAAATCTTAAAAATAAAATATAAAAGAAGAAGAGGTGGAAAAAGAGATGGATTTTGACAAGGACACAAGCCAGGCAGAACCGGCACCATACACAAAAAAAGCTGTCAGAACCCAGAAGGCGAGTGTATAGAAAATTCCCCGGCTCACTCTAGGGCTTCGTTTAGCCGAGAATGTCACGAGCGTCTGGGTCAGCGACTTGTATAGGGTTTCTGAATTAGCTACCATTTACTGGGTGCTTGGTGCGTGTGGGGCACTGTGCTCAGCACTTTACATGCATCACCTCATTTGGTTCACAAAAGAACTCAGTGAGTTATTCCTCCCATTTTACAGATGGGGAAACTGGAGTGCAGAAAGATGAATAACATCTTGCTCAAAGTCACACAGATACTAAGTGTCAGATAAATAGGATGAATGGTGAGAGAGAAAAGAGGAAAAGAGAGAAAACTCCAGGCGACTCATTTGCTTAATTTGTTAACTCTAAAAAGCATTGGGAGGTGAAGTCAAGAGTCCAGGAGAAAGAGAGGAGAGGGGAAAACCATACAGCCTCCCTAAGGGTAAGAGGACAATGGGGAGAGATCCATTCAGAGGAAGAAGGTGTGTGGTGAAGGATGATAAAAGTGCCCAATAATGAGTGAGGTCTTTCTTACTCATTTGAATGGAATGATTCCAAGGGGGAAATTCAAATTTCAGAGAGTAGGGAGTTTGGTGTGGACTTTTTATCAACAACAAAAGGAATTTGTCCCAGAGACTCTCCGTGCTGGCACCATGCCAGGACCCCTCTAAAAGACCAAGGTAATGACTCTTTGAGTCCCTTTAGGAATGAAGCAATATACAGGAAATGGAAGCAGTTTCAATAAAGGTTTCAGAAAAGCTTGGGAAATGAACTGAAGTGTAAAAAAAAAAAAAGGAAGATTGTGGCAAGGGGAGGATGTGATTAACCATATGTCAAATGCTTTTGATAAGGGATGGAAAGAGGCTGTGCACACAGGAGGAACTAAGACAACATGTGGCTAGGACTCACCCAGGTATACACAGCTTCACCTATCCAATCAGCAAAGATGAAAAACAATGTTAGTTCTGAGAAACAGGCACTCGTAATCACTATTGTTGGGGATACAATTAAATAATTTTTCTGGAAGCTGAGTAGGTAATGTCTATCAAAATCCCTAAAAATAGCCAAATGGAATTGATGAAAGCATTAAAAGAAGGATCCACTGACCAACAGGAATTTTTCTAGAAACACAAGGGCGGTTTTACACTTGGAAATCTAGTGACACAATTCAATGCAATAATTAGCTAAAGAAAAAAAAAGTTACGTCATCAGCAATAAATGCTGCAAAGGCATTTGATAAAGTTCAACAAGTTATGATGTTACAAAAGAATAATCTTCTTTTACTGAGTTCTTACCACATACCATGGGACTGTCTCCCTGTGAGATATAATTGACCATTTTATGGATGAGAAACTGTTAAGTGGCGTCTCTTCTATACCCTGAACACTGAAAACCCCTGTTTTCTAGACTGTTTTTTTTTTGTTGTTGTTGTTAAATGTAAAATCTACACAAAAAACTCCTATAAATTAATTTTTCAGAAACAGCCAAGAAGAAAAATGGGCCGAGGAGATGAAGAGGCAATTCACAGGAGAAATACAAATGGCAAGCACACATACCAGAAGAAGCACAAGCTCACTAATTATTAAAAAAAAAAAAAAATGGGGCACCCGGGTGGCTCAGTTGGTTAAGCATCTGACTCCTGATTTCAGCTCAGGTCATGATCTCAGGGTCGTGGGATCTACCTTGTATTGGGCTCCCTGCTCAGGGGGAGTCCTTGAGATTCTCTCGCCCTCTCCCTCTGCCCCTCCCCCACATACTCGCACGCTCTCTCTCTCTCTCAAAAAAAAAGGCAGATTGAAACAGTAAGACTGGTCCATCTATCAGATTGGTAAAAATTAAAAAGGGGCGAATGAAAAAGCCCCTCTCCTCCACATCTTCATAAGCACTGGCTATTTCAGGATTAGCTTCCACGGTGAAACAAATAAAGCTCTTGTGTAATAGAAAGGCAACTGAACACGGAGAGGTCATATACCTAATGTGAATTTCCAAAAAGTATTTTGGGGGCTCTCCCCACTTCTTACCCCACATAAACATTAGCCATATGATGGGGACAAGCCGAGTTGCTGGAGAGGAGAGAGTGCCCTGAACATCCTTTATGTGTGTGCTTTGGGATGCGGCGTAGAGATTTCAAAGCACTCAACTTTTCCCTTTTATGAGATAAAGGATAAGAAGCAACTGATTTTAAGACAATGGCCAGTTATTGGTAAATCCAAATCTTGGGTTCTTTTTGTGATTTACCACCAGTATTAAAATGACAAGACCAAGTATGTGGTCTCAGAAAGCCACAAACCTAGAATCTTAAAATAATATGTCACATATTACTTGGACTTGAGTAAAGTAAAATTTTAACTTTCTCCTCAGTACTTTATGTTTTTTTTTTTAAAGATTTTATTTATTTATTTGACAGAGAGAGACACAGCAAGAGAGGGAATACAAGCAGGGGGAGTGGGAGAGGGAGAATGAGCAGGGAGCCCAACGCGGGGCTCGATCCCAGGATCCCGGGATCATGACCTGAGCTGAAGGCAGACGCTTAATCGACTGAGCCACCCAGGTGCCCCTGAAATATGTTATTTTTACTATTCTTTTTTTTTCTTTTAAAAATGTTATTTATTTATTAGAGAGAGAACACAAGCAGGGGGAAGGGCCAAGGGAGAGGGAGAAGCAGACTCCCCGCTGAGGGCAGGGAGCCCAACTCGGGGCTCAATCCTAGGGCCCTGGGATCATGACCTGAGCTGAAGGCAGATGCTTAACCCACTGAGCCACCCACGCGCCCCTATTTTCAATATTCTAAAAGTTCAGTTAGATTACCATGAAACTGCTAACCACATTGCTCAACTCAGAGACATTCAAGTGACCAGAGTGTTTCTAATCTCTCTCCAGTCAATCAAAAAATAAAATTTTATATATATATATATATATATATATATATAAATTACATAATCTTTTACCTGTAAAAAGTTCAACCGGGCTAGAAAATCTGTGATATAACTTGCTAGGGGTTTAAGACTTGGGTATGATCGTGCGGCCCATATTTCTGGAACCTTCCCAACAAGTAAACTGCCAGAGAGTGCCTCCAATGCAGAATCCATTACAACCACGCCCTTAATAGCTTTTTCAAGGTCCTGTAGAGTGTTGCGTATAGTTTTAATTAAACTGCAAAGAAAGAAATCATTTCATCAATGTACATATGAGGGTAAATATCAATGTACTGTCTTTCCAGAAGAAGTAGCAGAAATCTCATTCACAGCTTTATGGAAGTGTTTCCCCAAATGAAGTCACCTCCCACTTGGTAATGGAAGGTACTTTTAGGTGATACTTGGATGAACATTTTTCATTTTAATCACTACATAATATAGAAAATAATACAATAAGCATATCAAAGTTGTTGCTTTCTGGGTATTATGGCTTAAGACCAGGCTAATTTAAGCAGAGAACGATTTTAGGAAAAATATCAGGTAAATAATGTTACATGCAAATGTGACATGCAAATACGGAAAAAGTTATAAAGGTGTAATCCAAAGACTGAAATTTGTGAAATAATTCCTTAAAGCATAAAGCATATATTCATGGATATACTTGCAAATACTTTGCTTCCCACATAGACCCAAACTGCTAAGAACGCTGTAAATAGACCTGAGCCGAGGATTTTAGACTAGAAGCCTAAGAAACTGAGAGACTGAGAGGCAGTATACTATTACATATAAATACATATGGTCTTTGTATAAAAAATACTGAATTAAGGCATCACAGTGTTTTAATATATTTTTAAGTGTCAACAAGTCCAGAAACCCAAATAAACTTGAAAACACCTTAGAAAATTCATAATCAAAACAATTTCTCCATTCCTTAAGCCAGTATTGAACTGTAGAAAATCCAATTAAAATAATTTGTTCACTATTGTGGGATACCTAATCGACCCAGGTTGGACTAAGGAAGAAAAGGGAGGTGTATATGCATCAAGTGGCAGAATAATGACAAAAGACTTGTTATTGGCTCATTTGGTCTTTAGTTCCTGAGGAGAGTAGTAACGGGTGGTGAGAATTATGACTAATGAATATTTTCACCAGTAAAAACAGATCTCATTTCCATCATCACTTTTGCATTCTAAAACATACCTTCACTTCTGGGGCAGAAGATTATACAACTTTAAAGAGTGGGGGTGGATCCTAAGGAAATGGCAGGTTTTGATAAGTTTTTCTTAAAGTTTTAATTCAATACCAGTGTTTTTTTTTTTTTTTTAAATCAACTTTGATTGGTTGTTTTCTGAACCACTGGGAGATAGATCCTTACTTGTTAAATCTTTCCATTTCTTGTACTAACACGGTATTCATGCTCTCTTCATATCTCACAGGAAACTTCAGTAGTGCCAATTCAATGTCAAAATCATTTGGTAGCTAAGAAAATAGATTTTGAAGATCACATATTACTCTCAGAATGGATAATTCGTTTCATTCAGCTATCACATCACTAGTAGTTAACACTAGGCAGTTACTATGGACTAGGTGTTGTGCTAACTGCTTTCCATACATTATTTCATGTAATCCTAACCATGTACTCTCAGGGGGCTATTGTCATCTCCATTTTACAGATGAGGATATTCAAGTACAGTTGACCCTTGAACAATGCAGGGGTTAGGGCTCGCCCGCCCCATAGTAAAAAATCCATGTATAACTTCGACTCTCCAAAAACTTTACTAATAACCTACAATTGACCGGAAGCCTTGCCAATAACATCAACAGTCAATTAACACATATTTTGTATGTCATATGATTGTAGACTGTATTCTTACAATACAGTAAGCTAGAGAAAAGAAAATGTTATTAAGAAAATCTTAAGGAAGAGAAGATACATTTACAGTACTGTGCCGGATTTATCAAAAAAATTCACATATAAGTGGATCTGTGCAGTTCAAACCTGTGTTGTTCAGGGTCAACTGTACAGAGAGGTTGAGTAACTGCCCAAGGGCACACAGCCAAAAGGTGATCTGTTTAAATCCACAGGTCTCTAACTGCAAAGCCCATGCTCTTTACTACAGGCTATCGCACTTTGCAGAAGTTATATATTTCTGAAATGTTGTGTAATTTCCTTTTGTAAGCTGAATCTAATTTTTCATTGATAAAACTGATTTGCCATTTCCTAACAGTTTTATATTTATTTCCAATCAGTTATCAACTGGCTCCAAATAGCTTAGCTTACCCCACTTTCAGATAATTAATGTGTGACTGCATCAGGGTTCCAAGGAATAGGGAGAGAGAAGGCGTCAAGTGTCTGCTTTCTATGAGGCACCTCAGAGATGCTTGAGAAGTGAAGGGGACTTTGGGACTGATAAGCCTCAAGGCATTGGAATTCACATTCCAAGGCAAAGAAGCGTCCCATTCAGGGAGGTCCCGAACTAAGAAAGCTGAACTGCCCAGAGTCACACTAGGTGTTGTCACTCAAGGACTCTTTGGCTCAGCACAGCCCCTTTTCCCCAAATACATTCCCAAATGCCACTGCTAGCTAATTTCCTCTTCAGGACCACGTAAGAGCCAGTATTCTGCAAGAGTGAGAACCTTCCCCCCAGAGATAAACTGCAGAAACAGTGAGGGGCCACAGGTGAGGAGAATCAGAGCGCAGATGCAGCAGTCCGGGGACAGTGTAGGAGGAGGCTAGCTTGCTTTCACCCGTGGCCGCGGCCGGGCATACAGCGCGGAGGCTCTCCTTAGGAGCGGTGTAAGGGCAAGGCCACCAACGCAGTGGAGAGGAGTGGCGCTGTCTGTGGGCTTTCGAGGCAGGTGGACCATGGGTCAGGCTCTGCTCTGTCAGAACACCTGACACTGAAATATGGGGCTAATTATAGCATTTACTCTGGAGGGGAATTGTGAAGATCCGCTTATGACCATAATCTTTTTAAAAGTTCCCTTAGTAGTTCCTTGTTGAATTTAAGACACAGAAAAAAGGTAAGAAGAAAGTATCATTCCACTTTACCTGGTAGGCTAAGTATTTTGGGCTATAGTATGAAGAAAAAAAAAAAGCTGTAGCTGCTAATTTAGTGCTGATCTTACTTCCTATGCCCCCTCCCTAAGGTGTAGATTAAAAACCATTCACCCCTTGAACCAGCAAGTTCAGACCATTTTCTCCAGTTTTTAAAAAGTAGATCCATTATCTTTGTCTGGAAATGATAATAAGTCACATGTTCATTAGCTCATCCACAACTGTAGTTACTAAGAACTTACATTGTGCCAAGCATCATGCAGAGCACTTTAAATTCATGACCTCTTAAACGTTCACAAGAACCTTATACTGTTGGTACTATGATCACCACTTTACAGATTTGGGAACTAAGGCTCAGAAAGGCAAAGTTTCTCACTCAAGGTCCTAATGCTGCTAAATGGAGTCTTCAGATTGTCATTTCAGTACCATTTTAATTTACAGGATAAGCAACATATTTTAAACTAAACATTACCTTCTTGAGAATATCTTTGGTGATTTCTAATAGAATCTGGTCAGCACTTCCTGAGGATCCTGTCTGTTTGGAGCCTCCCTGGGTGAGGAGCAAGGACTCAAAGAGGACTTTTGTTTGTTGCAGATCTTTGGAAATATCAACATTTTCATGTAACCCAAATATCTCAGGGTGTTGAGTAAATGGGAGATTCTACCAGAAAACAGATGAAGCAAGCATCATATTTCCACCGGCTACGTTAATTCATAAGGTGTAAAAGCATGCAGACCAAAAAGGGTTAAAAATCAACTACACATTAAGCACCGAGGAATCAAACTCTTCCATTTTCAGTAATGGCCAGAAACAAAAGATACTGAAAGTTGACTGAAACCATACTACTTGTCTAGCCCTCTACATTACAGGGGAACATTTCATTATTTGCTTTTAGAAAAATCACACTTAAATCTAACCCTATTTTCAGTGACATCAGTTACCTTAATGAATTCAATGTACTCATCGTAGGTGCGTTTGGGAGGTGCAAAATAGTTTCCACTGGGAGAAAACTTGTAATGAGGGTTTTCGATGATTTGTGGGTTATAAAAGTCAGCCAGCATGGTTAAGAGGAGGCGTCTGTCCCAATCATCTGTCACCCTTCCGCCATAGTTACATTCCCCGGTCAGATAGGAGATAGCTTCAAATGGAACTGTATTATATTCATTTATAAATAACTGAAACAAAGGAAAAATAAAATGAGAAAAACCTTCAAGTTTTTTTTACTTCATTTCCATTTTAAAATGACATTAAATACCTATCTCTCTCTCAATCATCTATCCATCTCTATGCACAAAAGTGGGGTTGAGCGAACTACCATCACAACTTACCTTTGGAAGGCTGGGATTGTTAGTCTTTATTTTATTTTACCTTTTTTTTTTTTTTTTTGAGAGAGAGAGAATGGGGAGGGGGGACAGAAGGAGAGAGAGAGAATCTTAAGCAGATTCCACACCCAGCGCAGAGCCTGACGTGGGGCTCGATCTCACGATCCTGAGATCATGACCTGAGTGGAAATCAAGAGTCAGACGCTTACCCAGATGACTGAGCCACCCGGGAGTCCTGTTAGTGTTTATTTTAAATTACTTTGCTTATCTGCATCTTCCAGTTTTAGGGCTGGGGAATAAACATGTATTGCTTCTGTAATAAGAAAAACATTTAACAAAAAAAGATGACATTAAAGTTACCAAGGACTTTTCATGTGAATTTGAATAAACCTTGTTTTAGGGCACTGGTTGTTAATTGGGGCAATTTTGTCCCCTGGGGACCTTTGGCAATATCTGGGGACATTTTAGATTGGTGGTTGGGGGTGCTACTGCCATCTAGTGGGCAGAAGGTTAGATGCCGCTAAACAGTGCCCAGGCCAGCTGCCCACAGCAAGGAGCTAGCTGACCCCAAATGCCAATCGCGTCAAGGCTGAGAACCAGGTGCCTGACTTAGGGCACTGTTTGCAATGTGATTAAAACAAAGCAATCCCAAATTTTAGTGCCAAAGCCTGGTTCACACAATATGACACCATTTAAAACAGTAATAAAAACTATTTGCATAGCTTTTACATTATCTTACTTATCTCCCTATAACACTGTCAAGTAGGAAGCTGAGTCTGGGAAATGTGAAATGATATGAAGGCCTGAATTTGTTTCTTCCAGTTCCAGATCCTTTACTTTTTCCCATAGACAGGAATTTTTGGTAGTATATGTATTAGGATGGTATAAGTTACTGGATGAGAACTTTTCCTGCCCCCGAAACTTACCTAATAGTGCAGGAATTATAACAGAAATGATGCACAGTTAAGAAAAAATATTTCCAAATTATCCAGAGCCAAGTTAAAAGAAGATATCATTCTTTGTTTGAGACTCCCTTGTTTTTGGGAGGAAGAGAAGTGTCAAGAGATATGAGCAGGAGACAGAAGGAAGGTCGTCTTTTGTGGTGAAAGAGGAAAGTTTCTCCCTTTCTTATCTCTGGGGGAGGGAAAGATGTTTAACTGGGTTTCCCCCCTTCCCAAAGCTGAAGGAAGAGACCCCAAGAGAAATTCATGTTAAATTTGTGGCATATGCAAGACACAGAGACTAACAACTCATTCCTTGGTTGTCTACTACTTAGCCGTAAGTTCGCTGGAGGCAAGAGGTAGCCTGCTGGTAGGACCAGGTGAAGACGGTTTAAAGTACCCAGTTCTTGATGACATAAAAGAGGATTTAATCTATGCCTGCCAGCTCCAATGTTGGGGTTAGGAGGGTTGATGACACCAGAGGCCAGAAGAGAACTCTCGGTTGACTGGTTATCTGCAGCAGGAGGATATTAGCAAAACGTTCTCCAAGCTTAGGCTATATCAACTAAATTGTTCTTAAAACAAATGTTTAAAATCAATGTAATTTCGTCATGTAATTATAATTCTATAAGCACCAATTTCATCAGTTGTCCAAGGATTTTCAAATTGACAGGTTTGTTCTAATTAGGGTTTCTGCCTTGCTTACAGGAAAGAAAAAGAGTTGATAAAATATCAAAAGTATCTATAAAAATTATCAGTTATGGTATAAACATGATTAAATATTCATAGCCTTATAAAACCCCACCTGAGTGAAACCTAATAGCACCTAATTGGGCTTTATCAACCCTTCCCATTTCCCTTTATGAGGCCCCATGTCACAAAGGCTCTTGTCACAGCAAAGAAGCGGAAATACATTAATACTCTGTGGTTGTCCAGGTGGATTACTATATTTCGTAAAATATGATAGAAGTAATGGGGAAAGTATTGGAGTTGGACAGACTTGAGTTCAAATCCTATCTCAATGGGCAAGCTCATTTCTTAGCTTTGGTTTTCTCAAAAATAAGGATAATACCAACCTTATAGAGTTGCTTCGAATTAATGTAAATAATGTGCCTACTTCAAAGTCTGAGTTAGTAGGAATTTAGAGCAGATATTTTTTTTTCCGGGGGGCTGCTGACTATTTAAATGTCTTATTTTATGAGACTATAGAAACTAGAAAACCCAAACACTCATTTTCCAGCCTCCTTTATAATTACAGCTTAGGCCTGTGAGCTAGACTTTGAACTGGGGTGTAGTGCACAAAAAAGCAGGAATAGCAAAGAATCTTTTTTGATGACATCAGGGGGCCTACAGTAGACCAGAGTCTGTGTGGCAGCTATGTGAGCTGGGGTGTCGAATATTCAACCAGGGTTGAGGATCTGCTCTTACCAAGACATGGTGAGTTCTAGATATGACACTGGATGCCTTGGCTCTCCAGCCATCTTGGGGATTCTATGATCTACCCAAATATTCTTTCAATAAATTCCTTTTCTACTTAAAGTAGGCAGTCTATTTCTTTTTTTTTTTTTTTAAGATTTTTATTTATTTATTTGTCAGAGAGAGAGAGAGAGCACAAGCAGGGGGAGCAGCAGAGGGAGAGGGAGAAGAAGGCTCCTCACTGAGCAAGGAGCCCGATGTGGGACTCGATCCCAGGACCCTGGGATCATGACCTGAGCCGAAGGCAGACGCTTAACGACTGAGCCACCCAGGCGTCTCAGCCTATTTCTTTTGACTGATAGAGCTAAACTGTAGCTTTGACTGAGCGGAGGAAGAGAGTATAGTAAGGACCTCTATAAAGCCAACACTTGAGGAGGGCACTGCAGAAAGACAGAAAGAACCAGGGTCCTTGATGACAACACTTGCTCAGTCAACCAACTCCAGAGCCTGTCCTTCCTTTGTACTACTTTTTTATGTGAGATAGTAAGCTTCATTATGGTTTAAGCCAGTTTCAATCAGGTTTTCCATTACTTACAGCAGAAAAAATCCACAGAGATAGTGCTTCATAAACCACAGTTATAATTTTTACTACTATCCACCTACCTACTAGTGATGTTGGGAGGATTAAGTTTATTTTAAGCAAAGGGAGTTGTCTAGGGCCTGACACACAGTGATCCTCCATTATTGTTAATTTCTTTCTAATTTTACCTGTAGTTGTCGAATACTGATGCGTAAGTCTGATTCATTAAATCCATATGGAATATTCCAACCAAGAGGACCAAATTTCTTTCTCTCTTGTACAAGGGCATGAAAAAAACAAACTCCAAACAGCAACTTCTCCCATGTCTTGAGTATAAAAATTACACAACAAGAAAAAATTCTGATCAGATTTCCATCAGTAAGATCAGGGGAATCAACAATCTTTTTTCATTTTTCATTAGAAGATTCTATGATCATATATTTCTCTCAACTTCTATTTAAAAAAGACATGCTACCTAAAACAATGCATACTATAAAAAGTATTAATCTTATGACTTAAAACCTCCAAAGCTAAATAAGCTGCAATATTAAACTTTGTTAAAATGCAATAATTCTACCATTTGCCAAAGTATTGGCTACTCATACTTTGGTGTTGTCCATAGATATTTACAACTTCAGTACTTCAAATGTTATCCCGTAGACTCACTGGTATATGCTTAAAACTACAGTGTGAGAGCATAATTAATTATTATGATAGGAATAAATCCCAATATATAGTTCCTGATTTTATGACTTTCCATTTGAAGATCATTCTTGAAACCCTTGTTTATTTACTCTGTCCTGGTATCTTCACATGTGTGACATGTATGTCTGAAGGGATGGGCCTCTCACTGAGTCTGTGGCAATGCTCTGGAGGATGGCCACCCATCTCTTTGAGGACCACGCCCCCCCCCAAGTAAGTTTCAAGTATGCTACCTTGATGGCTTAAATTACATTTCAAACATAGCTCCAAATACAGTAAAAATCCATCCAACTATCTTCACGTGATGTAGAAATTATTTCTATAACATTAAAATGCAAGTACACCATGGCCTTACTGAATAACTATATTCTTGAAATGTTGTATATAAATTAAAGCATATTTTAAATATACTGGGTGAAAGCTGTGGTGAAACATTTAAAAGGGGGAAACCTTTTGGCAATGAGAGCAATAACCTAATTTACATGTATTTTCCACGTATTTTCACCCAATGGGTTTTTTTTTTTTTTTTAAAGATTTTATTTATTTATTTGAGAGAGAGAAAGCACATGAGAGGGGGGAGGGTCAGAGGGAGAAGCAGACTCCCCGCCGAGCAGGGAGCCCGATGCGGAACTCTATCCCGGGACTCCAGGATCATGACCTGAGCCGAAGGCAGTGGCTTAACCAACTGAGCCACCCAGGCGCCCCCAATGGGGTTTTCTTAAGGAGATCATAATCCCTCCACATTTTTGCCCTGTGCTTGTGGGCCAACAACGTTCCTGTGGTATCAGAGAAATCTTAGGATTTCTTGCAGGAGCTCAACCCTCGATGGGGACCAGACACTATACCAGTAACCTTCCCCATTTCAGTAAGCCCTCTTTCTAGCTAAACCACCAAATATCCTACTTCTCTCCCAGAATTTCAAATAAATATATTGCGTAGAACTAGGGGCACACAGAAGCTGTCATTAAGCAGAGAGAAACTAGCTGGCTTCCAAAGAATTCAATTCTTTATTTTCATTACCATTCTTTTTCTAGCTCAAATAGGCAAATATGATAAATGGCATGTGCTGGGGTAAGGGCAGGGAATGAATTTCCCTTGATGCTGATGTTCCCTTCCATGTGAGGAGACCTCAGTGTAACACTTCTAGATTTTCCCCATCCTTGTATTCACTGCAGGGGAAGGGAATAATCTATCTGGTTGATAAATTTGGGAAAAGTTAACCAGATATGCTTTGCTCAGCTTTTCCCTTTCCATCTTAGAAGTGAGCTTTCCTTAAGGAAGAAAATTTTCCTCTGTTCCTGAGGGTGGATAAATCTGTTTAATTCTTTTTTTTTTTTTAAGATTTTATTTATTTGACAGAGAGATAAAGAGCACAAGTAGGCAGAGAGGCAGGCAGAGGGAGAGGGAGAAGCAGGCTTCCCGCTGAGCAGGGAGCCTGATGCAGGGCTCAATGCCAGGACCCTGGGATCATGACCTGAGCCGAAGGCAGCCACTTAACCAACTGAGCCACCCAGGCGCCCCAAATCTGTTTAATTCTATTCAGTGAAACGAGCCCCATTTGTTCACAGATATCAACTATATCTTCCAACCTAGTCTATATCAGTAATTAAAGTTATAATCTGGTTCCCTTATGTTTATACTTTTTCCTGTTTCTTAGTTGGTAAGAATGCCAGCAGGAAAAAGGAGTGCTATTTATTTATTAGGATTCCTAAGTCCCCAGTACCACGTGCGAAACTGTTTCACATGAGCACACTAAAAGGCATGATTAATATGTCAAAATGGTATTGCTAGAATTTAAGTTCCATGAAGGCAGATTTGGGGGGAGGGGGTCTATTTTATTCTCACTGCTTTATAGCTAGTACCTAGGAGAGTACCTAACACACATTTTGTTGAAAGAATGAATACATGAGGGGCACCTGGGTGGCTCAGTCGTTAAGCATCTGCCTTCAGCTCAAGTCATGATCCTGGGGTCCTGGGATCGAGCCCTGCATCGGGCTCCCTGCTCCTTGGGAAGCCTGCTTCTCCCTCTCCCGCTCCCCCTGCTTGTGTTCCCTCTCTCATTGTGTTTAATAAATAAATAAATAAAATCTTAAAAAAAAAAAGAATGAATACATGATATGAAAATAGATTGCTACTCGGGTCTTCATCAAACTTGTTAATGGATTTTGGTTTACAAACTAAGACACATTCATTCAGTCAACAGATATCTATTGAATGTCTATTCTGTGGGAAGCAGAGCACGAACTGCTGGGAAGAAAATGATGAACAATACAGGTACAATATCTGTCTTCTTAGAGAATGCCTAAAGTTTAACGTTGTTAAATATTTATAGTCCCAGATTTTCTCACTGTTAGAACACATTTGAAAAGCTCCAGAGGCTGAACATTACCAGTTCCTTTCCCTGGCATCCACCGAAAAACTGAGAATCAGAAATTGGATCAGTGAGATAAGATTGAAGGAGATTTAGCCGAAGACCCGTGGGAGGCTCATTAGTCATTTTCACTCCATTCTGTAGGATGGTTACTGGGAACTAAGACAGAATAAACAGAGCATTACTCAAGATAACTAGCTTGAGTCCTAAACATGCATATACTAGTGGGTTAAAAATAGGTAAAAAAGAGGACTCCAGAAATATTTTTAAGAACTCAAGCATTTAAGGCTTGATTAAAATATACAATGTAAGAGATAACTGAATAAATGTACTGAACTTCATACAAAATAAACATACTTTCGGAGATGGATAACTTGTGAGCCAAAGCCTAAAGGACGAGTTACAGACTTCAGGGGTAAAATCTTCACATATTTTTTCCAACATGGGCATCCAGGAGACGGCGAGGTGACAATTCTGTAGGCACACCCAAGTTCCTTCTTCTATTGCTGCTTTAATCATTTTTGTTGCAATTGGTCCTTGTCCTTGTCCCAGGGAAATTGCTTGAAATTTATTTCCAGACATAGCTTTATCATTTGCAAATTTCAGCAGGCCTAAGAGAGCACAAAAAACCAGTTTCACTGCTTGCTCTAAAATCACAAAGTATGCCTATGTTTCAGTGTGCAGGTACCTCACTGGAAGATTCCAGTTACTTTTCCTTATACATCTCAGATTTACTAAGTGAGCTTCAATCATATAAGAAATGGCCATTGATGGGGTGCCTGGGTGGCTCAGTTGGTTAAGCGTCTGCCTTTGGCTCAAGTCATATCTCAGGGTCCTGGGATTGAGCCCTGTGTCAGGCTCCCTGCTCAGCTGAGAGCCTGCTTTTCCCTCTCCTCCCTACTCATGCTCTCTCTGTCTCTTTCTCTCAAATAAATAAATTTTAAAAAATCTTAAAAAAATAAAAAAAAGAAGTGGCCATTGAGCAAGATGGTTTATTTATAGGTTCTTCAAAGTGTTCAGTAGGCAGACTTACTAGCCATGGGATCCGCTCCTGGAGACAGCACAAAAATTAAAGGGATGGTACAGTTTGAGTCCAAGTAACTCTTTGTCAAATCAAATGGTGGAGGCTCCACAAACTTTTTCCCTAGTTTGTCAGTTACATAATTTGTTATAGCTGGAGTTATCTGTTAAAGAGAGAAACAATATGCCCTTTAGAGTAATTTTCATTTCACATAACAATTGTGATGATTATTGAAAACCAACAGAGTACAATTTGAGTCTAATGGTCAAGAAAAGCATGCAGCATATCATAGACAAAGTATGAATTTCTCTAATATGTAAGAAGTGTGTATAAATTGATAGGACCAGACTAACAATCCAAAAGAAAAAAGGGCAGAGACAATGAACAGTTTATAGAAAATGATTCATGGAATCCATTTATAAAAATGGATCTTAAACATATGAAAAGATGCTCAAACTCATTCAGTATAGCAGAGACTGCAAACTGTCTCCCTGTTTGTCTCCTTTTGGTGATACAACCCCAAGTTTTCCCAACTTTTCTTGTACTTAGATGTGGCTGCATGACCAAGTTTTGGCCCAGAGAGATGCAAGTAGAAGTTATACATGGTACTTTCAGAAGGTATTTTTATAAGGAAGCTGTTTGCCTTCATTACTCTCTTTTGCTCTTCAACAGATGTGGTATTCATGAGCCAGCTTCAATCTCACTGAGGAGGACCACACTCTAGGGGACTTTCCTAGCATGAGAGAAAAAACTTGAATGTCTGGATGATCTCAAAAGCAGAGCTGCCCCGCCAGTCCTCAAGCACTTGCCCTGGGCTCTTAGGCGAGAGAGAGATTCACTTCTTTTTTACTTAGGCTACTGTATTTTAGGTCTCTTTGTTACAGCAGTTAGTCTTACCCTAATACTCATAATTTTAAAAAATACAAATGATAACTATACTTAGATACCATTTTTCACCTGTCAGATTGTTAGGTAAAGGGACAAGGATAGTGTCTGTTTATTGACCCCTAGAGGGTTTCCTTCACAGCACGCTGAAACCTGTTAGCTCAAAAGCCCATTGGCACCAAACTCAAACTTTTGCACATTCAATTTTTGTAAACACAGCCCAAATAAGCAGATATTTAGCCACTGACAGCCTGCCTACTTTGCACCCAACATCTGCTAGCTATAGATAGGTACCAGGACATAAAGACCCCAAGCCAGTGCAGGCCTTCAGAGCTCCAATCCAGCAACTCCAAACCATAGTGCTGCTGAGAAACATCCCCAAGACACAACATAAGCCTCTTCTCCCTTCTTCCTTGCCCTCCTCCCCTTTAGAGTTGTGGGACCCTCAACCCCCCAAAACCAGTGTCTGGAGAGATTCCTGCTGTGAGGGACTTCTCTCTCTCCAACATGCAAACTTGTTAAAGCATCATCCAGTGTAGCTCTTGTGTGCCTACTACCACCTCACGTCCATGTCTGCCCCACCCTCATCGGTCCCCAAATTCCTCAAACGCCCTCAACAGATTACCAAAGATCCAAAAGTTTGGCAACATTCTATGTGGAAAAAACTATGGGTTAAACAGATATTCTCATACACTGCTGTGGAAAAGTCATCTAGTGTAACTTTCATGGATTTGGCAGTATCTATCAAAATTACAAATGGGCAAATCCACTGACTCAGCAATTTTATTCCCAGGACTTTATTCTGAGAGATAGTTGCACATGTGAGAAATGTCTTTTGAATAAGGTTATTTATTGCAAAATTTTTATAGTAGATAATATATACATATTGTAAAGGTCCATCAACAGGAAATGGTTAAAGAAATTATGGCATACTAATAAAAGACCATTTGAATAAAAAAAAAAGAAATTATGGCATACTCTTATAATGAAATACCATGCAATTGTAAAAAAAGAATGAGAAAGCTCTTTATAAATTGATAGGGGAGAAAACAACATGCAAAACAGTGGATGCAACCATTTGTGTTAAAAATAAATGGAAAAAGAATTAATACGTATGCATATTTATATGTGCATAAAAGGGTAACAAGAAGCAGATAACATGAGTTGCCTGAGGGAAAGGATGCTGAGAGCCTGGGAGATGCAGATTGGAGGTCCACTTTTCTCCGTATTCATGTATACAAAACAGTTCTGAACCACAGGAATATGTTACTTCTTTATAAATTACATTAAAATTAATTTGAAGCAAAAGAATGATACTCATCAACATTAGCTGCAGAAAATAAGTACGAAGAGGTACTCAATATCACCTTCACAACTTTCTAAAGCGAAGCTTTAGGAATTTGGTGGAGGGAGGAGAGATCATCACAGGCTTCTGCAGTCCTGGTAGAGATGGGTCTGCAGTGTGTGGACTAGAAGAGAAGGAAGGATGGAGTCTTCTGTAGGAGAAATTTTGTGTAGTTGTGAGCATTTCTGTAGGTTTAAGCAGTGAAAATTTCCAGAAGTTTCAAGAAGATAAGAATGGAATTGCAGAAAAGAGGTATGATTAGCCAAGTAACAAGACTGCCAAGCCATACTTCTGTCATTATTCTATAGGTATTGAAAGGCCACTGAAGTGTTTTCAAAAAAGGAGCTCACCATGATATAACAGACTTTATTTCTTTCTTTAATAATTTCACATGAGCAATGATGAAATCTTTTTTTTTTTTTTTTAACCATTAACACCATGTATAGTTTGTATCTAGCCTAGATCTTCGATGTAAATTTTAGGGAAGGGGAGATACTGAGGACACAGAGACCTTGCCCCCTTTACTCTATGCACAGACCAGGGCAATGTTCCCTGACATGATGTAACTGCAATCAAGTATGATAATTTTCTATAGAAAAAGTACCTTGTTCCAGTAATTTAATATAAGAAAAATTTATAAGACTTTTCTGTAAGATTTTGATCCTTCACGTAAGATACTCTAGAGAAGAAATTATGGAAACTTGAACAGACCTGGAGATAAGTTTTGTGATGGTTAATTTTAGGTGTCAGCTTTGTCTAAACAGAGTACCCAGATATTTGGTCAAATACTAATCTGGATGTTGCTAGGAAGATATTTTAAAGATGAGATTAATGTTTAAATCAGTAGACGTTAAGTGTGATGTGGCCATAATGTGAGTGGCCTCATTCAATCAGTTGAAGGCCTTAAGAGAAAAAAAAGACAGACCTCCACTGAGATGGCCTCTTCCCTGGGTCTCCAGCCTGCAGATTTTGGACTTGCCAGCCTCCACAATCATGTGAGCCAATTCCTGTAAATCTCTATCTGTCTTACCTATCCTATTCATTCTGTTTCTCTGGAGAATTCTGACAAACACAGGCTTTAGTTGAACTTAGTTTAATTCAATTCAACTCAATTCACAGACATTTACTGAGATGTCCTACTATCTTCCAGGCACCGCTTTAAGTCCTGGAGATATTGAGCAAAATAAGACATGGGTTCTGACCTCCAGAAGCTCAGAGTGTAGTGGGAGATGCTAACAAACAAGCAGACAATTATTGCATATTCCAGTGTGGTAAGTCCTGTAATGTTTAAGCACAGGCTCCCAAGCATGGCAGACTAGGCAATAACTCCATACTTGGCATTGAAACAACATTTCCATTGGCCATCAGGGAGCCATTCTGTGGAGTGCAAATTAGGCAAGTGTTTCCCAGATGCAGAGCTAATCATTCCTAAGTTTACAATGAACAAGGGAGGCTACTGGTGATAAAATAATGAATACAGCATTGTTTTGGCTTTAAAGTGACTTACTGTCTAGTGAAAAGAACCTATATATACACACAACTGTCAGGTAGGAAAGAATGAGGTAAGTTTTAACAATGCACGAAGGTCTTGGAGAGTTAAGAAGAAGTACTCAGGAGTCTAATAATTATGTAAACCTCTGTTTGAATCTACTCAGAGGCTAAGTGAAGCATTAAATGATGCTCCTTGTGATGCTTTACTAAAAGCATAAAATGTTAAAAACAGAAAAAGAAAAAAGGAAGGAAGAAATGACCACTGCAATTACTTTCACCACCTTCATTTTATACATGGAGCTCAGAAGGATGAAGTTACTTTCTCAAAGTTTAAACTACATGTATGAACATAGTTTTTGGTTTTCTGTTTAAAATTTTTTCTTTTGGGTAACTGGGTATTGGGCATTAGGAAGGCACGTGATGTGATGAGCACTGGGTGTTATATGCAACTAATGAATCATTGAACACTACGTCAAAAACTATGTTGGCTAATTGAAATTAAATAAAAAAATATAATTGGAAATTCATCTCCTAATGAGATGAAGCAGGATCTAACTTGTCATATGCATTTAATGAAAGAGAAAGGTATATTCGGCTGAAAATTAATCAGCCCAGAAACTAGAATAATATTATTCTTGTTAATAGGAGGTTAAAAGATTAAATATTTATTATGATAAAATAAAATAAGCATTAGCTATTAAAAAAATTTTTTTTTCCTTTTGTAACACCATAATCACCTTTCTTGAATGTGTGAAAATCAGTATCAGCCTGTTTATTTCACCTATAGAAAGATTTTTGTGTCTGTTGGCCATCTGTATGTCTTATTTGGAAAAATGTCTATTCATGTCTTCTGTCTACTTTTTAACTGGATTATTTGTTTTTTGGGTGTTGAGTTTTATTTTATTATTTAAGATTTTATTTATTTATTTGAGAGAGAGAGACAGATAGTGACAGAGATAGCAAAAGAGAGCACAAGTGGGGAGGAGAAGGAGAAGCAGGCTCCTGCTGAGCAGGGAGCCTGATGTGGGGCTTGATCCCAAGACCCTAGGATAAGGATCCAAACCGAAGGCAGACACTTAACCAACTGAGCTACCCAGGCGCCCCAAGAGTGTTGATTTTATAAGTTCACTCTGGAAAATAGTATGGAGGTTCCTCAAAAAGTTAAAAATAGAACTACCCTATGATCCAGCAATGGCACTCCTAGGTATTTACCCAAAGGATACAAAAATACTGATTCGAAGGAATACATGCACGTCAATGTTTATAGCAGCATTATCAACAATAGCTAAATTATGGAAAGAGCCCAAATGTCCATTATCTAATGAATGGATAAAGAAGATGTAGTATGTATATACAGTGGATATTAGTCAGCCATAAAAAAGAATGAAATCTTGCCATTTGCAATGACATGGATGGTGCTGGAGAGTATTATGCTATGGGAA